TGTTCCTGATAGCAATCTGTTTTACGTTATGCAGCAGTAATAAACCGTTTTCGAAGTGCGTAGCTTTACATAATGGAAGCAAACTGATTCCACTATTCAGTTTTTTTTGAATATTAAGATCTGTGCTAGTGCTCTTAAATCACGACGTCGTATTCATTTGCTAACGCAAGCTGTCGGTGATCCTTAGCTATGTGATCGTTGACCATATTGTGCATTTAGACTGTATACACCGTTTCATAGTGGCAAAATGGACGCAGGAACGATCGCGTGGGAATCACTGGCGAACGCCTTCATTCTCCTAGGTGTCGTGGTTGTGATGACCGTCGTTCTTATCGTGCTGTACAAATACAGATTTTACAGGGTATGTGTATTTAGCCTTATTTGTGTTACCGAAAGCGTCACTTGGCTTCCGTTAAAAACTTGCGGGACCATCATCTCGTAGGCGATGCTTTACTGCCCCCCTCCATTCCAAACCCCTTTGAAACCTACCTACCACGTTGTGCATAATATATGCAGGTGTTTTGTCGTGAATTTTCAGCACAGGTAGTCGAATAATTAATTTCTGCAGAGGCAGCGAGGCTTATGCCCATCTGTGCCTCCAAACTCGGTGTCCGTTCGATGAGGAAACCCGATGCCGAATTCTTATACTTTACTTCCTGTTCACTTTTCAATGCCTATATATTTTCCCTTCAAAACGTACCGCACTGAGCTCTTTACCAGTTTTCCTCTCATTTCCTTTGTACATTTCTGACATCTTTTTTGTGTCATCTTAATTTTGTTGTAATATTGCTGATTACTTTTATGTCGGATAGGAAACGTCAGAATAAATGGATAGACTGTGTCACACTTGAAGTCATGGTTTTGTTGACATGACAAGCAACTTATGAAGTTCACTATTCCTTTACCTCTGTTAGTTCAGTCTGCTATGATATTAAGCATGATAATATAGAAAAATATATCACTGTCGTTTTGAAAAGTACAATGACTCCGAAACATTCTAAACGATAAAAGCGATCACCGTCTTCGTTATAGTCAGCATCCACATTATTACGTCAGTCTTTAACATCATCGTGACTACATTCATAACGATTATCAATAGACGTCGATATCACTGACTTCACTGTTATCATAATCAGTATCACCATCGTTGTCATGCTCATCATTATTATCATAATCTTATCCTTATTACCCTCACCATCATTACTGTAACAACAACACAATTGAACATTTCAACTTACCGCACTTTTCATTGTTGATCTCAGTTTAGCCGAGGTACTTGAGGTATGCTCAGCGAAAGGCCTCTTGTCCATGACTTGATTCTGAACGCGCAGCTGACGAATCTGACCCTCACATTCGCTTTTGTTCGCTAATAAAGTACTAAGCACTTAAAATCAAAATCGTTGTCTGTTCTGACGGGGAACAACATGGTTTTTATGGAAGCACGTAGATAATAATTTTCAGTCCATCGGTTTGCATCCTAGTTTAGTTGTGCATTGCTCATGCGATCTACTTTAGTCCGTATATCTTCACTATCCTGTGCTTACAGAGCGAAACAGTTGGCTTTCTGCGTGTCCGTGACTGGTAGGACGTCATGTCGTCACCAGTACTTTAATGCCTAAGCAAATTGCTATTCTTGCTATGGAGACTTGTTAACAGAGTCAAACCTTGTTGTAAACGCCCAGATGTATGAATCTGCCTTTTGCATAGGTTATCCGCGGATGGCTTGTCATCTCTAGTCTTCTGATGCTGTTCTTCTTCACGTATGTCTATCTCAGGTAAGAAACTATGTCCTTGCGATACGAGCGATTCGGTGCGGGCAGGCTTAAAACTTGTCATTGTTTTTAGACAGGTTCTGGTCGCGTACAACGTGCCGATGGACTACGTGACGGTGTTTTTCATGACGTGGAACTTCGGCGTCGTTGGTATGATCTCCATTCACTGGAAAGGGCCGTTGCTTCTGCAGCAGCTGTATTTAATTATGGTGTCGGCACTTATGGCGCTAATTTTCATCAAGTACCTACCTGACTGGACGACGTGGGCGGTGCTTGGCGTCGTCTCGATCTGGGACTTAGTGGCCGTACTTTGTCCGAAAGGTCCACTTCGCGTGTTGGTCGAAACGGCTCAGGAGCGCAACGAGCCCATCTTTCCTGCTCTCATCTATTCGTGTAGCCGTCGCTGCTCGTTGATCGATCTTTGGCCCTCTGTAAGATTTCTTTTTAGCCACCATCATGTACTCGGTGGCCGTTGGCGATCACGATCACGAATTTGGACACGACGACAATCCAGCTGCGATCACTTCTCCGTCTTCAAGTACACCACGTGCCCAATCGTCTGATAAAAGTAATCGTTTAGGCTAATAACCGGCATTGTATTGTGACCCGTTTATCTATTCTAGCTGTCTCCGACAAATCGGTCACGCAAGACTCACATGGTTCAACAGCCTCAGGTAGATTATACTCGAGTTTCTGTATGTTATCCGTTGTGGTTGCGTAAATAAATCATAAAAAATTAATGACTCCAGGATTTCATATCAGGTAGCATTTAATTGATCACTTTTATCGTCTTCCCAGGATCACTTTACAGGAGGAAAGTGTTAAAAGGCCTTTAGGAACGGTGTGTTAGCAATCGTTTGATTTCTTCTACGATTGTCCGGCTATAAATGGCTAACAGCGTTATACGGAAATGGCCATATTTTTCAGTCGGTTGGCAGCTTCCCACGAGGATAGAGTTATCCTATGGTGGAATGTTTAGACCAAGCGTTCGAAAGTAGTTTGATGCATGATCTTGTTACTGCGATTGCCGTCTTGAGCCTCGCGAAGATTCGCCTTCTAACTCTCCAGTATATTAATGCAGCATCCTGCACTACTTTGAATTCGGTGTGATGTCATATTACTGAATGAACCATATACTGAATGACCAGAAACTGAATAACTAATTATTTAATTACTTGGTTTACTGACGGGTTAATTCATTATAGATCATCTTTCTGACTACCTGACTAGCTTACCTACCATTCTTTTCAACTATTAGTAACTTCTGTTTTTAGCAGCCTTCCGTAAAAGTGATTCGCAGAGTAGGCGGTCGCAGAAGAGCAGTCAAGCGACGGTGATCAATTCTAGTAAAACCGGTAAAATTTGTGTGGTCAGCGACCGCTCGAGCCCGGCTCACTTAGAGCGGAACAGAGTTCAGACGGCGATCCTTACGGAATCCGAGAATGATAGTACGGTTAATTTGTATGACAATGTGCCGTTCATTTTTGACGCATGGTGTTTTATAGTTTCTGTTGAGCTGATGAGCTTCGGCGTTTCTCTGGTTCCCTCTTCCCTACCATCGGCTGTTCGAAGTTTAACAGCATTAAGACGATCATGTATTTGCATGTATCCATCAGCAAAGTTAGTACGGACTTTTCTGCTTCATCATCTTAGAACCTATTTTGATGACCAGACAATTTCCCCTTCTACAATGGAAAACGTACAACTGGCATGGTTTGAGCACGATATGCGAATGACTTCAGACAGGAAACCGAAACTGCTAGTACTTGTCCAGTCGACCGGCCGATGACCTGGGGGGGGGCATGAATAACCTTGAGCAAATGTATCAAAGAACTATGCTTCAGATTAGGGTTATCTTCTGCTGAAGCTGAAATGCTGGCACAGGATCAGGTATGTTGGAGACACTCTCTGATGATTCTGCCTCCGGCACCCGAAAGAATAAACGGTCATCGAAACTGACTGACTATTTTCCAGAATTATTCTTCGTATCTAGAGACTGTGAAAGCCATTAAAATTTTTTATGATTGTTCGCGGGTTTTCAGATATTTGATCCGTAATTCACGGTATCTTGCTGAAAAGAGCGGAACGATATGTCGAAACTTGATCCTTTTTACTTACGTACTTTGAATATTGTATAAAGTCGTGCTTCTACCATGATTTTTAAATACTGTAGTAATGCTTTCAGTTCCACCACATCTTATGGAACAACAGTAAAAGTATTCTTGTCTTAAGTGGATCCTTTGCTATTCTAAGTATCACTGTAGATGTCATTGTCGCCAGTCAGTCGGAAGCGGGCCACCGTTCCTTTGGACTACCCATGCAAGAATTATGAAATTGGCCAAATTGACCAGAGTGGTAAATGTAAGGTTCATCCACTACTGAAGTTCTTGAAAAGACTGCCTAACATATGCATAAGACGCTGATTTAAACCAGCGGTGGATCATTTAGTTTTACATACGTACAGTGTAAACAAACCTACCCTATGAGAGAGACGAATAACGATAGAAAAGTTGTATTTAAAATATTTGCGCATGAAAAATTCATATTTTGATGGGACCGGGTATGGTCTATAGTCCTTAGCATTCAGACTTCTTTAGCCAAGTGATGAGGCTGATTATTTATGTAATGATGTCTGGAAAATAAAGACAATACCAGGTCTTGGCAAACCGAATCTATCACGTGAAAATATTTGAAGTAAATGTTTTCCATCGTTGAATACGTACATTCTTGATGAATCACAGTCAGGTAGCTGCAGTACCAGTTTTCAGTTTGTATGATGAATGCACGTTTATACTGAGTAATTTCTACTGTTGCACTGTGTAATTTTCTTCTGGTTATAGAAGGTGTTAAGCTGGGTCTGGGCGACTTCATCTTCTACAGCGTCTTGGTCGGTTCCGCCTCATCTTATGGCGATTGGAACACTACGATAGCGTGTTTCGTTTCGATTCTCGTCGTAAGTATATGTTGCAATGTTTCGTTTGTTTCTCCATTAAATCATACGAGTTGTGCACACTTTAGGGACTTTGCCTGACGCTGTTGCTCTTAGCAATGTTCAAGAAGGCACTGCCAGCGTTGCCGATTTCGATCACTTTTGGACTTGTATTCTACTTTACCACTTCCATTATAGTTACGCCTTTTGCCAATTGGTTGGCGTTCGAACAGTTATACGCCTGACAGACGAAGCCTAATTTTTGCATTCGTTTCGATTCATCTGTGGTGATGGTGGGGGGTGTGGGAGAGTGGGGCTCTCTGATTTGACGCCTCGACACAGTTCCACCGGTTGAACCTAAAAAAGCGACTTTGGATGTCATAACGTAACGAATGTGATTTGCGTGACATATTCCGTTGGTGCCGAAGAAACATGTTGCATTCCGTTTTTGTTGCCTGTTGTTGCTAAAACGAGTATATTACTGCTGTTAGCCTATTTTACTAGTTGCGTGTTTCTTCTGATTTACTGAATGCTGTTCCTACTTACCTTTTCGAATGATAGCACAATTGTCGTATTATGGGGGTTTTTCTCCCATGGCGTGCATCAGATATGAATAACAAATGGCATTATCTACATGTACATTAATAACAATCTCTCGATGACCTGCCGTGTAATCGAGCAGTATGGACTTGTTACCAAATCTGGGGTGTGCCGCTTGGTGATTCCGTCCTGCTAATGCTTGTCATAGAAAGTGATTGAGCCTAATCCAATTTCTAGTGTTACGGAGTGAAGTCCAAAACAGGCCCCAAGCAGAGTCCGGTCGTAACTTATCGAAACCAATGTTATCTAGTGCCGTAGCAACATGACAGAGAGCGGGCAAACAAAGTCGTCTGTACTGTGGATCAGTGATAGGCTGATAAGCGTCGTGTCCTACCATCCTCTTTAGTGAGCCGTTTTCTACATTTTAAAAGTGGCGAATATTAGGGTATACTCAGAAGTCTATTCGTAGGTGCAATCCTCCTGCTGCCGAACATGGAGACTGATGATAGTTGTAAATAACTCCCTTGCATTGAATGTCTCGGATGTGATTTTATCGCCCAAAGCTTGCCATCTTTAAACCTCCTGTACTCTGCATCATTGCTCTGTCAGTAAGAGCAGTTGATTCGAATAGTCAAGAAGACGATAAACATTTCTTCTAGACAGAGTTCGCTACATAAATTACTCAGTAAGAAATCACATCATAAGGCTTCTAAACGTCTGACATGCGATGGCCAAACAGTGGAAAAGTCGTTTACCTGAATTTTGAAATTGCCGCATTCAAATACCACATACAAGAGAATTTCTCTGCTACTGCGAATTTCTTTGATTGAAGAATTCGTCGTACATTGTCTCAGTGAAATCAGTCAGAGGGCGGGTGGCATTTTTCCTAATCGCGAACAAAAGTAACAGCTTACTGGCGTGATGAGGGCATATCGAATTGTAAGAGATGGTCGGATCTACTGTTTGTTGGAAGCGCCTAAAGGCTACGATTTACTCTGACCCAGCAAATAACTAGCCATGTACGTGATATGGCAACGCGTAAACACGAAGAAAAGAATATTTAAACGACGAAAACTGTTCTAGCGCCTAGCTGCTTTCAAACTGTCGTTTTATAGCCCTTTTCACCCTATTAAGCAGATGTACTTGATCATAGTACGTGTACTTTTAAGGCATAGAATCGAAACGTTTCCGACAATGGAATAGTTTTGTTGACATATTTCATTTATCTTATTGCGAGATTCGTTCTGTCACATGACACATCTGAGTTTGTTTATGCATTATAAAGGAGAAACTATTCTTCATCAGTGATGCAGCCTGCAGATTGCTTCGTTACTGTATGTTAGCGTAGCAACGTAGCAGTTCGCGCTTGAACACATGGTCGTATAGATATCTTTTCTCGTATTTGTCCTCTATAAATCTGAGAAAATGGGCGATATCGGACGAATTCCGTCTAGCGCTTTTGTCCTCTTTCTTTCCTTGCTTGTCAACAGTGTTTCTGCCATTTACTTCCATATAAGCGAGTCTGAGCGGAAATGCTTCATCGAAGAAATTCCTGATCAGACGATGGTCATAGGTAAGTTATTGCCTCAGTGAAAAGATGTTCTTCGACTCATCTGTGATTTCAGGAAATTATAAGGTGGAACTTCTTGACCAGAACACGCGCCAGTTCGTTCAACACCCTGGTATCGGCATGTACGTGGAAATAACGAACCCAGAGGAACAAGTGATTTTGTCTCGGCTGTACACAAATGAAGGCAAATTCACCTTCACCAGTAACATGCCTGGCGAACACGTTATCTGCCTTTATTCCAACTCTTCAAGATGGTTCAGCGGAGGTCAGTTGGTAAGAGTTCTTTGGATGATGCTAATACGCACGTATTCTTTAATCAGAGCCTCGGTAAATGCTTTGCTAGGCAATACAGCGAATCACTTTTGAGCGGAATTGTATAGTTTAGTTTAATATGTTGTAAAGCGGTGGTCAAGAACCGTGTAATGCTTCGGAAAGTCGAACAAATGGCCACTGAAACGTGACATTTGCATTTTGTCGGAATGGACGGATATTGTGACAAAATTGTATCTAGCTGTTACAATACTGTTTAATCTTATCAATTCATCCAGCCCCTCTATATCATCATCCCTGGCGGGCAGTTTTGATTTTTGAATCGAAAGTAACTAACAGTATTGAATGGCTGTGATTTTCGCGTTGTTCTCGCTGATGTTGACGATTCTACAAGAAAGACGTAGTAACGTTCTTATCCCAGTTTTCAAGACCACAGATCGCGGTGATTGCATAACTCTTAAGAAATTTTCTTCTTTTTATGGTGGACAAGGTACTTGCCCGGACCATCTTTAGAAGATTGAATGATGCCATGGATAATTCGCTACAAACCCATCAGGCAGGTCTCCAGGGTGATCGATCGTACATGGGTAACATGCCCATGTTAAAAAGTATTATCAATAAGCAGTAGAGGAGCTGCTTTGGAAAAAGGTGTTTCTGATGCATCCATTTTTGGGTAACCGTCGATTCGCTTCATCGCCAAACGGTGAAGCGTTATTTCGCACTTTGAAAATTCCTGCTCTTTCTGTTCAACATTGTGCTGGATGGCGTGAAGCGCAGGAATGTCTTTCCGAAGAACAATGAGGAACTGATAGTCATTGCGCGACGCAGCCCAAGGTAACGGGTGACAGGAGCGCGATTAGTTCGCTGAAAAGTAGTAGCTAAACTGGAATACCTTCTGAAAAACTAAATCTGGTCGAGGCTGTGATAAAGATCACCATCGTGCTTCACTTTGGCTATCCCTCTGGATCTAAGTTACGCCGAGGTAGCACAGATGCGACATCACATTGAAGATTTATGTATAGAATCTGAGTGGCGAGGCTGGTTGAACCCATTGTAGGCTAGAATCACTGCAGCGTCGGTGAAGTATCATTCTTTCAAATCAGATTATGAATGTTGTGTGAGAAGGAGCAATAGACCATGCTTTGTAGTGGTCACGGATCTATAGATATTCCTCTCTGATTGCATCATGATAGAAATTAGCGCCCCATCATTAGCCAAATAAAAGGTTGTGCGATACCTTGAATGACTCGATGTAATAAATGGTTGTGTCCTCGTCATCAACAACCATTTTCAATCCACTGATATAAACCTCTCTGCAAAACGTTGCTGTAAACTTCTCTTTTCTACGTTTCATATCCATTTCATCCTGCCATCGATCTGGAGGTGGTCGTCTTACAGACCATTTATTCTCTCTTGGAATGCAATTTAAAGTTTCTCTGGTCCAATGATGTCCAGTTTTTCTTGCAAAGTGTCCTGCCCATTGCCATTTCAGTTTCGTCGCTCTTCCAGTGACATGACACACTCCTGTTTGACTTTTTATCGATTCATTCGTCGTCCTTTGTTTTCTTTTTACTCACAATATATTGTGGATGTGCATGAACCACAGATGACCCAATTGTTAAAAATTTTCTCTTTCATCTGCCTTATCTGGAAAGTGTTGATAGTCAGCGAGCTGACAGCGACATAACGTTGTGTAAAACTATATTTTACTTATATTTATTATGAGTCGTAAAAGCACAAATTACTTTTTTGAACATTAATTGGTATTTACTCTTGGCGCCACTGATGTGTAATATTTCAAAATCGCCAGTGACTCATATAATAGCTAGCATTAATCTGATGAAAAGATGTAAAGTTGTTGCAGGAGACAGTCTTTTACTAGAGATTATACAAGCCTTGAATCTTGATAATATTCTTTGATTCATTCTTAAATGCTTGATTGCGTGCAATTTTCAAAAAGCATTGAGAAATGCTGTTCAAAGATGGGGTCCATTTGTTGAAAAAAAGCTAGAAGATACTCTGCAGCAGCTAGTCAGCCTACTCACCAGGTTCTACAAAAAATTTTCTTGAATCAGACTTGTAGAAATGACCTAGTAGAAAATTGACGTCGTTGGGCCAGATATTTATTCCACGCCAGAAATATAAAAACTACTCATAGTATGAGACAGATTTGCTTGCTTCATTGACTGGAAAAAATTTCTGTATATCCCCCTAGTGGAACATGTCGATAGCACTGCTAGAATAGGAATATAAATGGGACGGGCATCTACTGAATTCATCGATTCTGTATAAAATTCTTGTGTATCCGAATTAATTTAAAGAAGTTGTTGCTCTTCATAGTGGGTGCTGTCTTGTATCATAAAATTGGTAACATTTACACATTGAGTCAGCAGACCGAGGGTGTTAGATGATCTCCTTATGTTGCCTTCCTCGTATGGTCCACCAAGGTGCACTTGATCAGTTCACAACTTTTTAGAATTAGACCCTAGTGGAAACCAGCTTAACTAAGATCGTTGGGGACCGAATTAAATGAAAAAACGTTGAATCAGGTCTGCATATCAGTTCACTACACCGTAGGGAAATGGCTGAATTTTACTATATCATAAATTCAATTCATGAAAGTATGGCCATACATCAGTTAACAGATATAGTTTTATGGGAGCCTCACCCTTTCATGATGAATAAGTAGTTATCTTTTTTTAAAAGACTCTATGTACACCTATCCTGTCATATGGTCAGGAGCGTTGCATATTGACTGAAAGATTTCGATTATGGATAAAGATGCGGAAGGAAAGCTTTTCAAGGGGGTTGCTGCTTTGACGACGTTCATCACAATGGGACGTTATTGTTATTGCTTCACTTACACAAATGGACAAATGCCAGTTGCTGTAATTTTAACTCGTCAGCATGCCAAAGGAAAGAGTCTCCCAAGATGGACGCAACGCCGACTCACATTCCACCCAAGCAAACGCTCCAGTACGCTTAATATTTAGCATTGTCGCAAATGGGGGGGGGTTGATGGACGTGCAAGAAAATTCTTATAAGTGTTGCGATGTACGTTTAAGGAAATGAAGGAGCGCAGTGGCACAGTTGGGAAATGGCTTGTTTTTCAGTCCAGAGGCGCCAGGTTGAAACTCAGCGCGGGCAGTTAATTTCCTCTTATTAATTGCTAATTCTTCTGAGCATGGAATTCACCCTACTGTGATACAGTGCAACCAGCCCATAAAGAAGTGGCAGCTCGTTGACCCGTAAATAATAAGGATGCAGCATGGTGCTTTGATGTCTCCGTGCCAGAGCGAGCGAGATTTAGCATGCTGTATGATGCGTAATATCCTGGCTGAAGTTCGATTAGATCGACCTGATAGCATACTAAAAGCAGCTCACGGTATAGATGTAGATTAAAAATGGATGGCTATGGAGACAAGCGGATGTAAAAATGTTGGCACTGAAACGGCTCGAATCACAGCTCCCATTTCTGTCCCAAACATACGTTATTCGAGGAATACTGTGATGTATCAACACCTCACCGGTCCTCAAAAGCCGAGTGGCATTATCTGTTTAAGCGGTTTCAAATGTCTCTAGAAGCTGTGACATTGCGAATTTGCCATATTACTCGGCTGTAATGATATGACGAGTCATTCCTTACTGAATAATATCGTAAACCCAGTCTTATTGAATTTTTAAAGCAATCCAGTATTTGGTGCCAAACTGTCTGATGTCGGTTTGTGTTACTCTTTGAAGATGGGCTCTCTCTGTAGTGTCGCAGATTGAATATATATGTTGCTATGCTGCTTTAGTGACCTGAAATCTTCCGCTTCCTTTCTGCACAAAGGAGCTAGGATAACATGCTTAAAAGGTAACCGTGATTAACGTGGGTTTGAGGATGTGATACATGTAACCGCATATTAGCAATTCGATGCTCTGTTATGAAAAAGTTATATTTGGAGTTTATGGATTAATGACGTCTCATACGTGTAAATCAGGTTTGCTATGAAGTGGGTGAAGTCACCTGACTTCTATAAACTGTGATCATCCACTGGAATGACCATGTGTTTCGTTTGCTCAGGCGTTAAACATCGGAATATTATGCTCATTGAATTGTTCGCAAGTCATCGAATGACTGCTCTTTCGTGGGTTGTGTGGACCGTGATGTTTTTAACCCTGTTTGTTTGTTAGATGAAGCGGTACCTAGTTAATGACAAAAATATGTCATCCTGCCTGTCTGGTAGAGAAAGTACATAATTGCATTCGCTTCGCTGCTGAACTTATCAATTTTCAGATGTGAAGAATTGAAAATATGACAGTCGCTTGTGTTGTCACCTCGATAGCAAATTCTTCATATATGATAGACGAAATAATTATTTTAGCGCGTCCATCTTGATATTCAAGCCGGAGAACATGCTCAGGATTATGCACAAATAGCTGCAAAGGACAAACTCAACGAATTGCAATTGAGGATTCGACAGCTGCTAGATCAGGTGGATCAAATCACCAAGGAACAGAATTACCAGCGAGTAAAACGACTTATATTTTTTCTGTCGTGCAGCAGTAATAAAAAATATTTCTTATAGTTCCGCGAGGAGCTGTTCAGACAGACAAGCGAATCAACCAATACGCGCGTGCTTTGGTGGGCGATTGCACAAACTTTCATTCTGTTGCTAACTGGTTTGTGGCAAATGAGACACTTGAAAGGCTTTTTCGAAGCTAAGAAATTGGTTTAAACCACATGGCCCATTCCTTGTGACTTTTTGTTTTGTTTTATTTTTTCTGAGTATGCCATCGTTGTAAAGTAGTAGATGAAGTAACATTGTGTGCAGCTTCGATACAATATGTCTGTTATGGACAGGACATTGAGATCTGATAATCCGGTGTTCCCGAAACTTTCCAGTGGATCGATTACCCGTCATGAACTGCTGCCACGTATTTGTTTGTGTTGCTGGCGAAAAGCGTTTTTTATAAATTAATTTTTTACCTATAAAATCGAGGACAGTTTTAAACTGTGGTTAGTAAGTGCATGTGATATGATGTCATTTCTGAGCTGCAATGTGAAAATTGTTTACTAATAAAAATTTGTGAACCTTGCCATTTTTTAATTCGCCTTTCAGTTTTTATTTACTGAACTTTCTGTACTTGCTTAATAAGCGACTTGCAAGTTCACCTTGGCCGTTGATTGCGAAAATTTGTTTTGTCCGAAAATGAAGAGTTTGAGGTGAAGATTGAAATAGAAATTTGCCTGTGCATTAGTTGTAAACTCTGGGTTCATGGATTTTGGTACCGTTTTAAGAATTCGTGTAATCTACTTTTCAGGCTGACTACTTGAGAGGTTCAAAGATTGATAATGAGTCATTCCATCATGGCTGGCGCTTTTGAACTCTGTGTCTAGGTTTTCGTTTGTAATGAATATTACAGTCTACCCTTGAATTTCGTGCATGACAGAGAAACAAGATAAAAATTAATCCTATCTTTTCGGTCGCTATCCATTTAGAGCCTTCATTTAGTGCAAAGGTCTCGAAAGTTGTATATGGAACATGCAACTCAACAGAACGACACTTAAGATCTGATATACCTCTTCTCTGACGAGAAAGAAACAGTAACAGGCGAAAGACGCGTGGCATATCAACGGTGTATATTTGGAATCTCCTGTGCCACTCAGACTGCCTTTGGAAACTGCAGACTCTAATCAGACCACTTGAAGAATACTGATCCAGGCCGGAGATCCAGAACTTTATTCCGAATGAAAGCACTAATCTTCTAGAAGTGCTTCATTCTGTTTTAGTACTTATGTTGATTTTACAGAGTCGGTTCTCCGTCCCAGCGCTTCGCTATCCTGTTGCATCTTTCTATCGCTGTGCTGCTGCTCTGCAAAGCAGTCTACCTAGCATCGCAGCTCAAAGATCTTCCGCCAGGGACATGGTGTGAAAACCTGCTGTGAAGGTGGTTCACCTAGTTTGGCGCACGCACTAGTATTAACAACTAAGAACCTTTCACCTAGAGTTTAGAGGACTGATGTGCCATTCGGACTAATGAGTGTGGATGAAGTATAGACGTGTAAAACGGTATGACCCTACCAACAAGATGTAAGCGCAACATAACCGCTGACTTAGTGCTTTCTGACATCTGGCTTTGGATGCATATTCGTCCAATGACCAGACCGTTCATTGCAAGCGCTGATATTGCTCCTGCTTTTTATAAATCTGCTGATTATCTCCATTAAAAAATGCGGGCATTTGAGAGCGGCGACATTTCTGAATGAACGGCTGCGCTCTTCTAGATCTTTAATCGGGCTTGTTAGTCTTCGTGATGTGGAGGCTTACGTCGATGTAAGAAAACGGGTCGTGTTGGAAAAGGTAAATTATCTCGCAAATGTGCCAGCGCTGGAAGGATTAAGACTAGATTCAGGCGCGATGCTGGGCACGTATTGAAACGGTTGTCTGGACAGACGGAGCTCCACAAGACATCTTGCGGCAACTGCTGGAGCATTCGTTCTACCCTCACCTACCGTACTCATCATCCTTCTTGTGATCAAATTTCCGTATTTTAGTCAACGACGCATTTTTTTTATCACAAAACATGCAGGGAACTTTTAACTCTGAAAGCAGGCCCAACAACCTAATGGTGAAATATAAAATGATTAATAAGCTGTTTTGCGTCACCATCTACGCCGAAAATCCAGAAATCTCGAAAATCGATAACGGTACAAGGATGACGAACTAACCTCTGGTAGAAAGTGCATTTTCTCTTAGTATCGGATGAAATCTTGCCATTAAAATGGTATTGACCCTCTTAATAGATTAATAAGATTATAATTAATTTTTGACGTCGAACTGACAAGTCATTTCCGAATACCGCTTACCCTTTTGGGTGGCGAAGTTGACAGTGAGTATGTTTGAATTTTGATTTGAGTCGTCGCTAACTTCTTGCATCAAAGCCATGTATGGATCGAATTGTGCCCTTTCTCCTTTGGTGTTGCACTGACTTAGTTTACAAGGCAATATCAGTTTCGTTCGGTGATACTGTTTTTGTCCAGTCGAAAGTCTTACGCGGTCCAGATTTGTCATCCGTAGAAGTCTACGAGGAATCACACCGATTGAAGTTCAACATGTATAAAGCTTTATATTTATTCTACTCTCAATGAAAAAAATCTGTGCCAGTAGCAACGCGGGTTGCATAAACAAAAGTAAACGTTGATGGATTTAATTTCGCTGTCATTTTGCAGTTTGTCATTGTAGTTAAATGGGCTTTTGAGGGGTGATCAGCTTCCTTTGACGGAAAATTAATTTTGTTGAAGGAGTTGTCTCCTTTTTCGTCAAGCTTCTATCCAAGTATTCCTCGGTCAAGAAAAGAATTAATTTTCCATTAATCGATTTTCAAAATTTTCTTCAACTTTCGATATGTGCGACCAGCAGGATTTGACAATAGTTTTCGATTCTGTTTTTTGATCGTCTTCCTTGCGGCCTTGCCTCGGGAATCTGCCTTCTGCTCCTATCCTTCGCGTCTTGATCGAGCGTGCACTATTATTTTCTCCTCATACTGGAAAATATTCGACTTCTCTGAAAGACTTGCCTAGTGCTGCAGTTTCGCTCTGTGCACGAGATTGTAAAAACAGATTTTTGTACCCTTTGTAGTAAATGGCGAATTTTTACTCTCAGCGATATGTACTTTTCGCTTATTTATATGACGCCTGTTTTACACGAAGTATTACAGAAAATGAATGTACAGGTTTTGGTTGGACGTTGCCGTGTGCCACTGCTGCAAGTGTATCGACGATTTTCACAAGGAATGATGGTACGCGGTTTCGTTTGTTTAATTTATATCCAATTTCTGCTGTTCATTTCCTTCGTGTGTCTTCAATAAATTGTAACTTCAGTGTTTCAGTAAACAAAATTAAACAGGTAGATGGAAGTCTTTAGGCAGTTTTCGTAGGGAGTTATAATATGGACTACCATCCGTCTAACTGCTTGTGCTTATGACCACTGAAGGTGACAATTTATTAATTTATAACTGTTATTAAAATATTTCTGAAATAAGCCTATTTCAGATCAGCGTAAAATATTGTCAATTTTTGATAAACCAGCGAATCGATTGTATCGCATATTTCATACGTAGGGTATGTCGCCTGTATTTTGTATTGGATTAAGAGTAAGAGAAAAATTGTTTCTCATGTGTCACGTAAAATTGTATTCTTTTTGGCGACAGAGGCGACAACTAAATGTCTTCTCAAAGGAGCACCACATTGAATGCTGTA